CTGCCTCAGAGTCAACTGCTCTGGTGAATGGTAAAGCACCCTCCACTGTCCTTCAAAGAAGCGAACTTCCACGAAGAGCCAGTCAAAGACCACCAGGATCGGCACCACGAAATGCTGAAAACAGCGTTGCAAATCGGCTGGCTCAACTGGAAAACGAAACTGCGATTCACTACTGACCCACATCGCAGGGGCACACCAGCAAATGGAAGGCATCAAAAGTTGCAGCACATCAAAATGAAAAACCATCTCGTCGATGGCAAGGGCACCAGGTTCGAGATTAAACTGCAAAAGCCTGGCAGCAACTGAGTCATTTTGCACATTGCAACTTGGATGTTCCGTGAGGGAATCCATACCACCAAAAGCGATGGGAACAGCCTGTCTGGGCTTGGAGTCACACCACAAAATGTCACCGTTAATAAGCATCAGAGGCTGATTGGCTGGGCATTCCACTGAATTACGCAGCTTAATGGTACACGGCTGTTCCAACAAAGCAGAGCATTGCATTGGTGTCATCGTACGAGGTACTTGGCATATCTTCAACCACTTGGTGTCCTGCCCACCAGCTAGTAACACCCATTTGCTAGCACTCACTGGCTCATAGGTGCCCTGAATGGCCAAGACCACAAGCACTCCAATCAGAGTGCGGCACGCTTCATGGTTTGCTTTGATGAAATGAAGATGCATGTCCAGCGACTGAAAACTTGGAATGCTTCCTAAGCGGTCGACATTGGCCTGGTTGATCCAGCTGAAGGTGCCATCTTGCTGGAGCATCAAAACTCGAGCAACGGCTCTTGGTTGTACATCCTGGCAAACGTATTCAGCAACATGTAAGAATCCCTTGCGATGTGCTTCCAACAGAAAGTCGAATTCAGGATCATCTTCCTGCTCACACCATGGTTGCGTGGGGGAAACAATGGGATCATCACTCCCAAGGTTCTCACCGATCTTGAGCGCCTGCATTGACACAATCTCAAAAGCTCCACACCGCAAAGCAATCTGCCCAGACGGTATTTGCCCCCAAGCCATATCATGCGGCAGAACCTGACCATCCCAAAGGAGAGTGAGCAGCCTTCGATGATGGTTTTCGAGCTCAAGCCCATGCAAGAGATCACTAATGACCATGCCATCCACCTTTTTCTCAAGCGGGATCAGGGTGCAATCGTCACAGAATCGAATAAGGACATTCCCAGCAAGCCATGGTTGCCACGTCCTGATGCTTGGGAGTATCTTGGTCACCACGTCAGCAATCGGTTGAAGAACATACATGCCATCCACAGCACGAACCACGGCGTTCTCAGCAGTTAGACGGTCATCCCAACATTGTTGTAGGATGGCCAACTTGGAGATGGCCTCACCGGACACCCCTTCCAAAGCAAAAAGGATTGCGGCCAATGCATGAATCTGAGAAATCGCATTCCCAAGCTGATGAAAAGCAGTCCGGATATCACTGGGTAAACTCAACGTTGCAGTTGTCCCGAAGAGGGAAGCAAAAACAAAGGGGTCAATGAAATGAAACTCATCATTCACAGAGATCAGAGTCGCAAAAATTCCCTTGTTCTGCGCATGTTCGGCTTGCAGCAGATGTTGAGCTGTATAAGACGCACATAGAGTGGGTAAATATTCACCCGTCTGAAGGACACGTTGTTGCAGCACTTGTTGCAAGGAGGCACCTTCGATGACTCGGACTTTCTTGGCAGGTGGAAGCAAATTCCTGTCCCCGTAGATTTGCAATTGAGCCTGACTCAACTTCAAACTGTTAGCAAGGGTGCTCGGCAATTCAAAGAGGTGCTTCGGATCATTCCAAGGAATTCGACGAGGAATCGAACACTGAAGGCGTTCTGCAGATTTGTGCCCACCAACATCCTGACGACACCAAACCGCAAGCCACCTCGTACGCTGGTTGCTGGTCATCTGGTGAATTGCAACATCTTGGGACCAAATCCGCATATATCCAGCAAGTTGCATCGCTGCTGAAATCACCCGCCAATGAGGATGAGATTCCAGTCCGTCAGAGCATTCAAAGAGTGCAAGGACAGGCCGAACTTTGCACACATGGTCAATGGCATCGAGGAAACAAAACCCTTCATCGGAGGCAAGGCCGGAATGCTTGCCTCCTTTGCTCCAACTTGGGCATGGAGGTGAGAGCGTCATGAGCAAATTGGATTTGTGTGACGTTGCTCTGACCAGTGTGATCTCATTTACGTCAGCAAGTATGCCAGTGTATGCATCGCTAGAATCAAAATCAACCTCAAGAGGGCACCGAAGAAAGTCCTTGCGATGATTCATACTCCACGTTCGCATAACATCTGAGCTCCAGTCAACCGAGGTGTGCGATGCGAAGACATACCCCATACCCGCATTCTGTAGCCACCACATGGCTCGAAGCCATCCTTCATAGGCACCTGCAAACAGGTGTGACACCTGCCAAGCAAGGCTACTATTGTAGCTAGGAATATTCCATACTGTCACCTTGGCATCGGCAAGAATACGCTCACCGTCAAGACGATTCTCCGGTTTGGCAAGTATGCCAATCCACATTCCTGGAGCCAAATCAAGCCTGCAATGCCTCACCGGACAAAGGATGTCAAAAGCGGGCCACCTCACATTTTCAGCATCAAGCGGCTGCATCAACATTGAAGTCCTTCGGATATGGGCACATAGATTCGGTCCAATGTTCACGTCCATAACTTCTCCAAACAACACCCAATCTTCAGAAGCCGATCTACAGTCACCACAAGAAGCGATGCCATGTAATGCCTTGGTGACCGTCTCAGCCAAGGTCACTGGCATGCCCATCACAGACCATTCGATCAAACCTTCCACAGCACGATAGCCAGCTTCTCTCTTCGTTGCCATCATCTCCATGGCGATCCCTTCACCGATGGGTAAAGGGTCTGTCGACGCGCCACCTCCACACCAGGCGTGGACAGCGACGCCCCGGCCCTCGCGAGCGGGCGTGAGGCAAATAGCTGGGAGCCAAGATGCCTGGGGGGAGCTTCCTTAAAGAAGCGTGAGCCATCCTGCGTCCAGTAGCTAGGAGTGAACAAGATTGTCACGGAGCCCCTACTGGCGTCTTTGTTCCTGTTACTACTAGCTAGCGTCCTTGTTACTACTAGTAAGGCACTTGTTACTAGTAGCGATACACTTGTTCCTAGTAGCGTCCTTGCTCCTAGTAGCGATGCCAGGAGCCCCTAGTAGCTTTTTGCTCCTAGTAGCGACCCCTAGTATCGTAATTAAGCAAGGAGGCAAGGCCACGGGTTTAAAACATAAATATGTCTCAGTCCTTTGCAGGCTTCAAGATTCCGAGGATGGAATTGGGTCCTGAAATGAACATGAGATGAAATGAGATGAATATGTGTATTCTGCAGATGTGTCAACTCTTCCAACTCTGACTCTCTACCTCCTGCCAGCATGATTCCTCTGTGACCTTGGCCACTGGGCAAATGGCTTTGCACAGCAAACAAACAAGAGTTTCGCCAACAAAAAACCGTGACAAGAGCTTCACCCTTCTTGGGCAGCTTGCGATTTCGACACCTGTCACTTGTGATTTCGCAGTGCATAGGTCGACATAATGTCTGGAACATCTTCAGCACCCTGACCTGAAGGAATGATCTCTTCTTGCCAAGGGTACCTCTGCAAACTTGTGGGTACCAAACTCCCGTCTCTCGTTGTCAAACCTGCATCCTTTTTGATCAATGTTGTGCCCCTTTTGCCCAAGGCTGAAACGCACAGGACTATGAAGCCTCACATATCACAGGAGAGCTGCTCAAGGGAAAATGGTGCAAAGTTAGCTCTGCCTGGATCTGGCCACCAGCAACTCCGACCTGCATACGAAGTCGGAAGTGCATTCAGACTCTCGAACCGCCTCCACCCACCTCCAGACTTTCGTCCATGCGGTCTTGGGGCCGATGATGCACATGGTGCACTGGCAGGGAGCACCTCCAACTGTGGCAAAAGCAGTAAAGATGACGGAAGTGTGCTGCATGCAACATGTCCGCATGGCCTGGTCTGTACACACGGGAGCACTTGCCATGGCTCTGGAAGCAACAAGATGCAACATGTGCTCAATGTCCAAATTCCTGTTCTCAAGCACACAACAGGTCTAAAGTCTAAAGTTTCATGTGGCTGGTGACTCTTGAGGCTACACATACCTGTTGCACCTGTTGGCCAATGAGCTGGCTTTCTCATGTTTAGGTCTGATTCTTGCTCTAGCTTGGCTGCTTGAGGGACTGTTGGTGCATTTGGAGGCATATTGGGGCATATCTTGGCGCTTTAGCCTGGGCGCCTAGCAGCCCGATTTTCCATGTGGAGCTGCTTCTGAGCCGGAACGACACCCAGAAGTGTCACCGAGAGGTCCCATCGGCCGAAACTCCCACTGCTCCGTACAAATCGTCGCCGCCTGAGAAGCCAACCTGTCAGAAAACATGGTTGGACAGAAAGCAAACAGAAGCAATAGAATGATGAAATCTATAAATGAAATTGGTTCCAGAGATTGAAGCTGCAGGCGACCTGTTTGTCGAACACTCCGAAAGCATTGCCTGGTCAACAAGAAAAAGACAACAAACAACACTTGTACTCAGGAGCAACTTGCACCAGCCTCCAAACGCAGGAGCCTGCCCAAATACACAGCAACGGGAATAGCAGGACGCATGAGGTGTAGTTCAAGGGCTTCATTGCACAAAAAAGCTAGTGTGCAACTCAGCACAAGCTACTTTTGCAGGAAAGACTTCATCCAGGCCGCTTTGTACTTGGCCAGACGGCAATTGGTGATCTTTGATCCTTCCAAGTAACTGGGCCTGATCTACAGGGCTCTATGAATTCAGCTGCTGGATCCAAAAAAACTGTTCAATTAAGTTCCAACTACTTAGATTCTAGGTTGGAGGCCATCGCTACTAGGTTGGAGGCCATCCCAAAAGAAACAAAGAAAAAGAAGGGAAGAAAGGTCTAGGACTTACGTCTTATGTGTTGGAGGCCATCGCTCTTGCTTTCTATCTCGATTCGTTCATGCTCGTTCTTTTTTTTTCAGAAGCCAGCTGTGCATTCCCAGGCTGAGCTGAAGGAAGCCCTTCACAACGGATGGCTTGGCTCAGCGTCCGCTCAGTGTCGGCATGGTTCGGTTGCAATCACTCTTGCATGAGCTCTACATCCAACTCATCTTGGTGATGCTGGCGTGATCTGCGAAAACCTAGGAGGAGCCAGGACACGATGTCAGAAATCACAGGCACAAAGCAACTGAGCAACTAAGCAACATCGGCCCTTTTTACCTTTCTTCTTTAGACCTTGAGAGTAGTATCAAGAAGCTACTATATAACTACATAACAAGATGCATCGCTACTAGTAGCAAGGACGCTACTAGGGGCTCCTGGCCTTACTACTAGGAGCAATGTTCGCTACTAGTAGCTTCAAGCAAATCCTCATGCTCCGGCCAAACACATTTGAGGTCTTGGCGAATGCCATGCACCCGTCGAATGCCAAGCACCGCAAGGCCCAATCCAAGGAATCCTGCCTCACAAGTGAATTCCAAGGATTCTGCTAAATCCGTTCATCTTAGAGTCAAAAAAGAGACAAAAATAGGCCCAGGTCCGCCCTTGTTCTGTTTTTGGACGAGGAAATATGACAAAATCCGTTCATCGCCCTCAAGGACGTGATTTTCTCAATCCGTTCATCTGCTTCTTGTTACTAGCAGCAAGAATGCTCCAAGTAGTAAGGCCAGGAGCCCCTAGTAGCATCCTTGCTCCTACTAGCGATGGCCTCCAGCCTAATATGACATCTGCATCTAAACCTCTGGGTTGACTGGGTTGGCCCACAGCCACAAGCTAAGCACAGGGCGACTAAAAGCAAGGTGATTGCACCAACCGCATTCAAAGCGTCGTGAATCTGGCATGGCCACAAATCGTTGTTTAAAGCAGCCAGTCTTGTGATGCTAAAATTACCAAAAGCTTTGTTCGGCAGTCATTCTGTTTCGTCATCATGTTGGTTGCCAATAGTGTGAAAAAACAAAAGAGAACTACAACATGGCTCCTTGAGAGTCTGATTGAGAGCGGTTGCACATTCTTGCTCAGCAACAATGTGAAGTTTCTGTGGACACTGCGTGCGACCTTCCAACCAGCCTCTGGCGTCTCCTCTTTCTCATTTTCCTCATCTTCGTAGAGTCGGTCCGGAATTGCTGTGTCTGGACACATAAAGGTCAATTTGTACTGACCTCAGGAGGCGGAAATGATTTCGCAAAAGGAGTAGGTGCAAAAGTGCGAGACAAGACTCTTGACCCAATCCTTGAAATACAGAAGTAAGCTGAACAAGTTACAAGCTTCTCCTACAAGACAGGTAATCCAACCTGACAGGGGAGGCTAAATAACATTGAACCAATGAGACCATGTCGTCCAAGTGTTTGAGCTTGTCCCCAACGTAAAAGTGCTAAACTAGGTGCATCGCTGTAGTAACAAGAAGCTACAGTGTAACATTACAGCGATGCACAGCAAGGCCAAAGAAAAACTCCCTGAGTGTCCTTCTGGTGCTGATGTGTCTAATGTGTGACATGCTCGATGGGCGCCCGCGCCATATGAGCAACGCATCAAGCCTTGTCCTGGTTTGGATCACTTGGCATTGAGCCATTGGCAGCCATGACACTAAAGATTTCGCCGAATTTACACCCTGTCAGTTCAACACATAACAAGAAGCTAGTAGAAACAAGTGCATCGCTACTAGTAACAAGTGCCTTACTAGTAGTAACAAGAAGCTAGTAGAAAAGAGAAGTGATGCAAAAACAAGAAAGAGAAAGAGAGCTTTACTCAATATTTGGCTCATCTGTTCCCAACCACGAAACAAAGCGCTGGGTCTATGACAAACGTCAATCAAATGACCAAGTGTGGAGGAGAAAAAATAGCTTTGTCACGCACATCAAAGCAACAGCCACTACATCTTTCAATGACCCCAAGACTATGTTTTTTGTTTTTTTTTTGACTGGTAAGAACAAAGAAAAGCAGACCAGGCAGCCACACCGTCATCATATGCAAAAGCATAAACGCCAGGGCAATGCTGATGCACTGTCTGAGTCAACGTGACGTGGGAACGGTGTGTCGCATTGTCTCCAAGCTCATCAAAGCTTTTTTGGACTCTCAAACAAGAAAAAGATGAGGAATAGCGATGGCCTCCAACCTACTAGCGTTCGACTCTCAAGAAAAAGAAGCAGCCACAAACCAAACACATCGCCTGTACATACTTGGTTTGTGGGAGCGGCCCGGCATTGCACGTCTGAGATGTCTCCGGTGGAGTCGTGCAGACTGCAAGGTGTCAGCATCAAGGTGTCAAGCTGCTTGCAACACAGGCAAAACCATGTCGCCGGGCTGCAATATTTGGTCACATCAGGATCGTTTCTGGACTTTCCTTTGGCCTCAGTGTTGTGGCTGAGAAAAAACAAAACAAACACAAAATGCATAAGCAGCTTCTACAAAAGCACCTCGTTCGAAACCAACAGCACTCGGGATTTGGCGCCAAAGTTGTTCCATTTCGTGTCGATCTTCTTCAAGCAAGGAGCATAACAGCCTCACTGCACAGAGTGTTGAACAATGTTGAACATAGACGTAGACACTGAGCACTCATAGCTCTGGCCACCACTGTAGCACCATTCAGCTAAGATCCAAACCAACAGGCTTGCCAATCTTTGGGCTAAACGCCTGAGAAGACTCAAGCTTCTGAGAAAAAGAAGGACAAAGCAACAAGGGAAGAGAGAGAGAGAGAGAGAATATGTCATCAATCTCATGTTCTGCTGAACTTCTGAAGTCCTCGCCTGCATGTTAATGGGTCCGGCGCCAAGGTTGTCATCTGTAGGACATTGTGATACAGAAAGGCTGGAGCAGTCCACGACTTTGACATCCGAGACCTGGCCAACATGCTGCGATTGGTGGTATTCTTAACGTTGAGCTAGGACATTCAGGAGCATTTTCTTCAAGGGAAAAGACCGAGCTTTCTTGGTCTGGATTCTAGAACCCTAGCACCCCACCAGTCTAGACAAAAAGTGAAGCGGTCCTTCATAACTGGGCGGGATCACGCGGCCAGTGCAAGTGCCAGACAACACCTCCAGCTTGAAAGGTAGTGTGAAGCCATCCACCAAACCTGTGCTCAAAAGCATCCGAGCTCAGTGCGAAGGTGCAACAGCACCAGACTAACAGCATAGACAGCACAAAAAAATAGATCAAAAACAGACCACATCCAGGGAAAGGTGAAACGATCCAGCATCTTGCTTACCTAAGCACAGCTTTCAATCTTGTAGCGCGACGCTCCAATGCTTGTTCGGGATGCATGTAGGAGACATAGCAGCAAGGCAACAACTTGCGGCCACTCGCAACGTTAGATCTGGGAGACAGCACGAGACAAAACTCTTTGCGACAGACGCTGTCTAAGTTGGGGATCAACGCCCCAGTCTTTGATCAAGAAAAGACAGACTGAGACACAGACACAGACAGAGAGACAGAGAGACGGACGGACAGACGGATGGACGGACGGACAGACGGACAGACAGAGAGACAGACACAGACAGACACAGACAGAGATAGACAGACAGAGAAGCAGAGAAGGAATTGGAGAAGGAGAAGGAGAAGGCGAAGGAATGATAAAGAAGGATACAAATTCAGAAAACGGAGAAAAATGCAGAAGCAAGGAGAAACGAGCAGGAGAACGATGGGAGAGAGTCAGAGGAGAGCACAGGAGCATGTAAAAGAGTCCCCGTCCCAAAGCATATAATAAGTATAGACTTGGATACAGAGGAACTCTTGCCATGAAGAGGCCTCTTGATAGACTTCACCGGACTAACAAAAACTAATCATGCCGATCTGTATCATACATAGATCAACATGTTGTGGATCGACATTGCTTGGTAGGTGCAAAAAGTTACGGCCCAAGGCAAGAGTTGGGAGTAAAGATTGAAAGCTGAATGCCGGAGACATCCAATGAAACGCACACAATTAGGCATTTGACTTGACCTGCAAAATGAATTGTCCTCACCCGAGGAACGGCAACAATAAACCGGGGAATGATACACCATTTTCTTGAAGACTGCTTGCTGAAGCTGTAGAAACTGGGGCTGAGGTGACTAAGGCAGGGACTGACATCAACGAAATCACAGCCAGACATCTTGTTCGTAGCTGGGTCGCATGGCTCGCCCTGAGCATCTTTCAGACTAAACCCCATGGTGTTTACAAAGTCGGTCTCCAGCTTGACATGTTTAGGAGCAAAACATGCAAGAACTACTTGTTACTAGTAGCTTCTTGTTCCTAGTAGTAATGCCAGGAGCTACTAGTAGCGATGCCCTTGTTACTAGTAGCGATGCCCTTTACAAAATGCTGAAGAAACCACACAAAAGGGCAACGGCGTAATCCGCCAAATCAGCAAAATGGAAACCCTCCGGCCTGACGCCCCCATGTCGCCTTCGGAGACGAACACGCCATGAAGATGGTTTGAAAGCGTGAAATCATGTTGTTTCGGTTTGGGTTCATGGGCATTTCCTGGGCATTTCATTCATGTTGACGTCTTGAAATTGTACACACCCATGTGTCGCCTCAAACTTGGTGTCGATCGGCGGAGCACAGGAAGAATAGTCGGGAGTTTTGAGGGTCTTAGTCAAGGCGAAAACAACTTTTGATTGAAAACTGGTAGCTACGGATCTCAGAACAGAAAGCTGGTAGAAGCTGGCAGCTGCAGTGCAGTTGCAGTGCAGCTGCAGACCCAAGGGCGACACGCACCTTTGATTTGGACCACCACTGCCGCCCAACACACAATTGTTCCTGAACCCGTGGCGCTCGTCCCAGGACATATGACATATGTGAACCTTTCTCTAGGAACAAGGACGCTACTAGGGGCTCCTGGCATCGCTACTAGGAACAAGGGCCTTACTACTAGGAACAATGTTTGCTAGTAGAAACAATATATAAATCAGAATTTAATTAGAATCAAATTAAAATTAAGTGTAATTACTTCTAATAGCTTCTTGTTACTACTAGTAAGGCACTTGTTACTAGAAGCGATGCACTTGTTACTAGTAGAATTAAGTGTAATTAGAATCAAATCAAAATCAGTAAAGAAGGTTTCCTTCAGACCTTTGAAGCTTTCTCTTTTCTCCTTCCTTTGGTGTTTATGCATGTTTATGTCACTTGGCTCCAAACCCCTGAGCGTCACAGCCCATCTTTGGCCAGTATCGACTTCCAGCTAGGCCGTCCGTCTCTGTCTCGTCAAAGGTCAAAGTGCCTTGAACACAAATAAATACTGTTGATTCACATGTAGTGAAACTCCATACAACTTAAGAAAAGTTCAAAGCAGTTGCTTAGTGAAGGTGTTTCTTCAACCATCTTCTCTGGTGTTTTCCTCCCGTTATTTTTCAGACTCTGGAGCCTCCAGGCTCGATGACGGCGTTCTGCGGGCCGGGCCTTTGACCAGTTTCACTTGAAGAGTGTCCATCCAAGTGTTTGGCAAGGAGTAGCAACAAGAAGCTACTAGTAGCTCCTGGCCTTATTACTAGGAACAAGAAGTTACTAGTAACAAGGGCATTGCTACTAGTAGCAAGAAGCTACTAGTAGCCTTTAACCAAGGCCCGAAACTAACCTTACAAGGATTAAGTATAGAAGAATCGAATTGACAATGAACGTAAGAGTGGCAGAATGGTGGGAGTCAAAGGAGTGCGTCTTCCCAAATAGGATATGTCTAAGCAAATAATCCGAGGTCTGAATAAGCATTATGAACCTCGTCTTCCTCTGCAAAACGGGTTCTTACGTCATAGTTCAGAGCATCTTTTGTGATCAACCTACACCGTCACATTGAGCCCGAAGCCCAACGCCAACCTCGGATTGAAAAGAATTAGTCTGAACAAACAGGTCACAGGGTGGGATTTGACTTTCTGAAAGATTGCAAAAACTAGCTCAGTCGTGGTCGTTGGCCAAGTGCGTAAGCCAAATCTTCTGGTGACAGCCATTGACCACTTGCAACCTGGGAGTTCCGGCCTCGATTCAGAGTCAGAGAGAGCGAGAGCGAGAGAAAAAGGGTTCGTCTTGGAATGGCCTCCACCCTTGTAGCGATGGCCTCCACCCGAGTAGAATGCAGATTTGTTTCCTTTCAATAAGGTCCAAGCGCTCACAGCGATAATGTGGACGGCCAACAGTTGCAGTTTCATTTCGCCACAAGAATGGCTGCTGAGGTCAATGATCTTATCGGCCAAACCCGAGCTGTCAGTTTGAGCAGCAATGGCTTCAACATTTTCGATATGCAAAGAGAGTGGCCCCCCTAAGCCTCCAGATCAAACAAAGAACCTCAAAGTATCACAAGAATAATCGACTTGCTCATGTTGCGCGCAAGCCTGGTGAATAGAAACTTCGCCTGCAAGGTTCATGATTCAGTGTGGGTGCAATCAACTTAGGATAGTCAGCACAGTCCACTGTCTCTTCCTACATCCTTTCATTCCCTTTCCCACCTACAGCAACCTGTATGGGCTGGCCCAGCTCGTGCTCACCATGCGCCCTGAACAAGCACAACAAACCAGTGCAGCTTCCACATTTCTACATTCCCAAGCCACAAATACTTTAAAATGTCATTATTGGTCCAAACTGCCAGTTTGTACGAGGGTTTCCTACTCTGCAATTGTTCATGGCTCCCTTCATTTCGAGCAATCTGAAAGGACTTGTACAGGGGGCTTGCAGCTGTTTGTGAACCTGCGAATTTGTGTGGCATGCATATCGCAAATGTGCAATTTGCCCGTCGCATATTTTGCAAAGTTTGCCTGTTGCCTTTGGCTGAAGCCGGCCACTCAGCTCAAGCGGTGTTCAACAGGATCATGTTCACAACACTTGACTTCCATTTTGTGATCGTCTCTTTTGTGGACTGTCTTCAACGTGCTTCCAGCATGCCAAGCGGGGCGGTTCCGGTCAATGGTAAATGAAGGAGGAGCTCATGAACACATCACCACCCTTTGCTACACCCATTGCTCTTACAAAGCAGGTCTGATGGCTCCGACCAGGTGCATTGGCTGCCCTTGTCGCATGTGCCAATAAGAAAGAACTTGCAGAGCGTCTTCTTGACATCCTCAGAGGCCGTCCTAACATGCCTTAAGCCTTGCGTGTTTGTTTTACAAGTTTAACTACTGACAAGAAGAAACAAGCAGGGACTTTTCTTCGAGAAACACTACCTGGTGCGAACCCTTAGCCTTCGTAGATTCGTCCAATTTTACCAAAAGCTTTCTGGTTCGTCCACAGTGAGGAAACCAGGTTTCGAGCTGGAGCTCCGCGCCTGGCATGGGCATTTTCTCTCAACCGAAGAAACAAAAAGCTTGAGGCTCAACATCAGTAACAGGTAGTGTGAGAAGTAGTTGAAGTAGTCGGTAACAACACCTTTGGCCAAGCTTGGCAGGGCTGCTGCGTAGGTAGCTCACCTCCAATCGGCCTCAGCTTGCGCAAAACAGCCGAAAGTCCATGGCACACATCTTCGGCCATTCCTAGGAGGTTGGTGAGGAAATCGAGGTTGGTGAGGCCATCGCTAGAAGGTTGGAGGATATTGCTCTTAGGTTGGAGGCTATTTGGTGTGTTGGTGACCAATCGACCTGGATCTCCTGCTGACCAATCGAGCTGTCTCCCACTTGTCTCACACCTCCCCCCCAGCCTACCCCTGAGTGAGCGAACGCTACTCGGAACAAAGGGCATCGCTACTAGGAGCAAGGACGCTACTAGGAACAAGTGCATCGCTACTAGTAACAAGTGCCTTACTAGTAGTAACAAGAAGCTACTAGGGGCTCCTGGCATCGCTACTAGGAGCAAGGACGCTACAAATACTAGGAACAAAGGGCATGCAAAGACGATCTGATCTTTGAGACCCGCCATTTGGACGCAATGGGGGTCAAGACATAAATTTCATGAGGGTTTGAGAGAAAAGGGACTGGCTTGTTGGTTCAACATCCGCTCTCCGCTGCGAGATGGGGTGGTTTCAGCATCTTGGAAGCCCTGCGCTGACCACCGCTGTCCACCAAGCGCGCGCGAAAAGGCTCGTAGTAGTGTCCTTGCTCCTAGTAACAAGGCCAGGAGCCTCTAGTAGCGTTCTTGCTCCTAGTAGCGATGCCCTTTGCTCCTAGTAGCGTCCAAGTGCAAATGCCTTTGTTGGCGCCACACGATTGATCCGCCATCTTCATGCTGAGAACAACTTGGAGGCGCAAAGAGCCATGTCCATCCACGTCCCATCCAGGCCCACTGTCAGGTTCTGACGTCCCATTGGTCATCAGGGTATTGAACCGAGAATTTTCTGGGCAATCTGGCAAACAGGCTGAGTGGCTCCTCCGGGGAAGAGAATTGCCAAGGAAGCTTGCGGCTGGAATGGCTGGGATGCAGTCTGTAACTGAATCTTTTTCATCACGACATCTTCCTCTTCTCTAGACCCTTTGTTCCTTTGGCAAGGGAGCTTGCGCTGGCTGGTCCTCCAATAAATTGGTCGCGAACGTTGAACAAGCTATCTTGATGCCCTTTTTTGACTCATGCACCGCATGCGCTTGAGCTCTTTCTCAAAGCTCTGAGCCTCGTGTCTACACACTGTGCTTCTCTGTGTGAGGTTTCCATCTTCTTCTTGCGTTGGTTCCTCGGCCTCCAGGTGTGTGAGCAGCTCCTGTTGGTTGGTTTCTCTTTTTAAGCCAGCTCCTCCCCTCCCCACTTAATTAAGTAGGCGCATACTTAAGGGAGAGGTAGCTAGTAGGTACAGGACGCATCTAGGTAGGACAAGGAAACTCCCCCCACCACCCTAAATGCGGCGAGGGGAGCTTCCTTGAAGAAGCGCTCGCACGATTCATTTGGTTCCTAGATTTTTAGGTAAACTTAAGCTAATGTATGATAATGTATGATAACTTTGCATGTAAGTTTCTCTTCTATGCTTCTCTTTTCCTACTTGTCAAATCGAATGTGTCTTTTGTTTCTCGCACGCTTGTCTCCCGCATGTCTGGACGTCTGTTTGTCTTCGTCGCTCCTAGTAGCGATGCCCTTTGCTCCTAGTAGCGAACATTACTCCTAGTAGTAAGGCCAGGAGCCCCTGGTAGCGTCCTTGTTCCTAGTAGTTCTCAGGGTGGTTCATTTAATCTGCTCAAACTATTCTCAGGTGATTTTCCTTCTGGTCGCCAAACTTGCAGGTCGTGCGGGTCACATTCTTTGCGTCTCTCCCAGTGGCCAAACTAGCCATGACGAACCACTTGATCGAATTGGGACAACTTGGCCGATTTTATCATATGTGTATATATACATAATATAAACTTAAATAAAGATAAAGTAATCTGCAGTCCAAGAACTGAGGTACATAGTGGAACTTACTCAGCGAAGGGCAAGCGTAGAAGCAGTTCCAATCAAAGGGCTCTATCGGTAGGCATGTTGACATCAGCCTATTTCCACAGCATTGCATGACATGTTCTCTGTGATCTAGAATGCTCCGCAAATGGATTGCCGTCGCGTGGCGCTGCAAGCATCAAAGTTTGCGCTTTGGGTAAGAAGACAAGGCAGTAGCGGCAAACAAAACACCGATCACACAGGCAGACAAGTGGGGAGACAAGGCAGCAGCGGCAGACAAAAAGACAAGACAATTGAGGAGGCAAGGCAGCGATGGACCAAAGTTCCAATCAGCCACCCAGTCATTGAGAAGTAAGAACCCCTATGGCAGCTATCTGAGGTGAAAAGAATCCGAGGTTTGTGGTTTGGGTGAATCTCTAAAAGGTGATGGAATCGTGGGCTTTGCAATGCCAGTCAAGTCGCTGGAGCATCGTGAGGCAGCGTCAGGTTCATGAGATTTGCGTCAGGAGATGCTTGAATCCCCGCTGTGACAAGTCTTTTGCTGTTCTAATCCGCATGCTTTTTGGTTCACCAACTCCGGGATATGTTTAATCAAGCCTGAAATAAGTGTCAAATGATTTTTTCCAACATTTCAAGACTGGATCGCTTCGAAAGGGTATATCTTTGGCCTGCTCAAAAGCTCAACCATATATCTACAGTATCTCCCGTGAGCCAAAAGCATCAAGCACGGCTTCCTTGGAAAATGGTTCTCAAGGTTTCAACGTACGGAGGAATTGACTGCAGGTTGCATTCTTGTCCATCCTACGTGTCTCACGATGCTATCCTACCAATGCAGCGTATCACTCACTTCTTTTGAACGGCACAGCATGATGTATGAGCAGTAAGAAATGCTGAAGCGGACAGAGCAAGCTGCACACTCCATCTCAATGACAAAACCACCTCGGATCCAACCATCGTGCCTATTCCAAAGCTAAGCAAAGCTTTACAAAGCTTGTCCCTGGGGCTCATCACCAAACTAATGGCAGATCTTGTGCCTGATGAGGGATCCATTGGAGTTCCCTGCTTCGCCGGGCCCTCGCAACAGCCTGGCGAATAGCAAAACGTTACCAAACAAATAGCTCCGTAGCTTGGGGGGGTCAAATGCTTTCAACATGCTACTAGTAACAAGAAGCTACTAGGAGCAAAGGGCATCGCTACTAGGAGCAAGGACGCTACTAGGGGCTCCTGGCCATACTACTAGGAACAAGGACGCTAGTAGTATGTTCTTCGATGTCTGAATCCTTTTCAGACGCTTTTTGCTCACCTTCTCCCTGGAGCACTTCATGGTTTTCCTCCCCCGGCCTCTTCATTGACATACCAACGCCTGGGGTACAAAACGGTGGCTTGGCCTCTCCTGGTGCTCACTTCCCTTGTTTTATGTGAAAGTCACTAATCAGAACGTTCTTTTGGACTCAAACCCTACAACACCGCATCATTTCAGCTTAGGAGCCGTAGCCACCAAACAGCGTTGCCCTCTTGTGTCAGCGGCACTACAGTGTAGTGTTGCGTGCTCAGCGTGACATGGCAGGAATCATTCTGCACCTGAGCATTGGACTAAAAATTGCGTCAACCAAAGCCAGTGTCATTGCAAGAGGGATTGTCAGGCACCCCTGCAAAAGGGCTTAAAATCAGAGCTAGGAAATCCTGAATCAAATAGCAAAAACTAAGAGGCACTGAATATACATGTACCGTGTGTATGTATATATATATATATATGTGTGTGGCTGCTCAACTACAACTCAAAGTCAAACAGAAATCAAACACAAGCTGCCGTTTACTAATCATGTTGTCTTAAGAGTTAAAGAAGCCGGTTTCCTTCAGTATTCGTGCTATGAATCGGGTCATCTTGTGTAGCAAAGGGTTGTCGCTGTCGCATCCAAAACACCGTTCAAGGGTGCGTTCTTGTCAGTTTGGGCAAGGCACCAAATAGGTACTTCCGTAGGCATCACACCACCCTCCTTGAAGTCCAGACAACACCAGCGAAAGTGCTGGCCTTGAGAAGCTCTGAAGCAGCAAATGTTGCATAATCCAGGACTTGATTTCATGCATTCTAAATAAGTTCTTGACAGAGTCTTAGATCAGTTGATTCAAGATGGTTCAGAGAGATGTTTCATATTTCATCTGGTCTTGCAGCGGTCTATTTCACGACTTAGAGATGCACGGCATAGCCCAGGCATCAGTCCAGGCTGATGGTGCAAAAGTCGCCTGGCGCATCACAAAGGGCGACAAGGCCACAAAGCCAAAGTAGTAGCGATGGCCTCCAACCTAGTAGCTTCTTGTTCCTAGTAGTAATGCCAGGAGCTACTAGTAGCTTCTTGCTCCTAGTAGCGATGCCCTTTGTTCCTGGTAGCATCCTTGTTACTAGTAGCAACGGCCTCCAACCTACTAGCGATGGCCTCCACCCTAATTGTGAAAAGTAAACAAATGGGATGAAAAAGAAGAGAATGGTTTTAGTTGGACACTTAATTATTGGCTTCATAATTTCACCTGCTTTTTGTTCCTCTTTTCTCTTACACATAAAAGCAAGAATTTCTCCTGGGAGGAGGCTGCTGTTCCAGCTGGGCAGAAGGCAGGGGCATCTGGATCCATCCTCCGACCCGCGGCAGAAGGAGCAAATGTCGACACCAATCTAAAAGAACTTCACAGAAGCTGCACGGAGAACAGGAAGAATGGCAATCAAGTGCATGTGCTGTTGGCATTTCACACAAACCCACCAACGGTTCTGCTACAGGACAGCACTTGTGAGTTGCCATCAGTCAAGCCTACTGTTCCTTTGTGGGCAAGAGTTGGAAATCTTCTTGTTACCAGAAGCAAGAATGATCCTAGTAGCGATGCCAGGAGCCCCTAGTAGCGTCCTTGCTCCTAGTAGTAAGGCCAGGAGCCCCTAGTAGCGAACATTGCTCCTACTGAATGCAAATCGGCCGCAAACCACTTCAGCTCGGGACTGACGCTTCAAACCAGGAAATAGATTTGCCAGCAACCGGGGACTCAGATCCGCGTTTCTTTGATCCCAACTTCGGGACCAAAGACCTCCTTTGTTTTTGCCGACCTCCTATTTAGTTAAGTAGGCGCCTAAGTTAGTTTCTAGTAACTGGACGCAAAATAGCTCACGCTTCTAATGATTTGGCTCCTAGATTCTTTTGGGGAACTCTGAGACCTTATATTGTGTCTTTAGACATTGTAAAATACAAGATTGAAGAAGTCGGAAAAAACTGCTTAACCTGTGCTTTGCTCAGTCTGCGGCAGATCATAGTCATCCGGATCTCGAGAAGATACTAAATAGAGACCTAAGATATCGCCAAGATGAACCCAAGAGTAGCCAAAGCAAAAGAGAAATCCACTCGAAAGCCTAGTGAAAGTTGTGTTTCTTCGTCGAAGAGCTCCGTTTGCCCTATCTCACTTCTTTCACCACGCAGCTGCTCGTCTCAACCTTGTGGGTCTTCTCCAAGTCATCTCGGATTTGCTTTAAGGTATCATGCTTGTCAGTGAAGTTGTCCTCTCAATGAAAAAGTCTCCGAAAACTTGAGAACCTCCTGAAAAGACTGTCCTCTTTGTTGTTTGCGATATCTTGATCAACCTGCAACGAGAAACTGATCTCTTTAGACTCAGCGATCAACCTGCAACGTTGAACAAATGAGCATTGAGCTGGCACTCTGACCTTGGTCCTCACCATGTAATATGGCACCGCGTGTCGCTCCAGCTCAGCACGAAGAACTACCTGCAATGAGTGCAAGGTAGTTAAGTTCCTAATTATCAGAAAATAGAAGAATAAACATTGGAAAAGGTGGTCTTGCCTTCCATTTCCATCTCTTCTTTTTCTGTTGTTTTCTCTTAGGTTTTTGCTTAAACACATGTCAAGACGTTTCTACAAGGGTTTCTTCAAAGAGCTTCTCTCACCTGAGGCTTCTGCGTACGGATGCTGCTCCCTAACACCTAAAACCTTCCTTACTATCTAGCTCTCCTACCCCTGTTGTGGCGGAATCACTTTGTTACCCCGCTCTTTTGTCGAATACATAAAGAAGAGGAGAGGCTTTCAAGTGTTTTTCCTGCCAGATTGCCTCCATTTCTGTGAAGCGGCCCGCAGAGACCACCACTACACTGTCGAAATAGCGAAGACCCATGTCCTCAATCTTAGACACTCCAACAAGTGCTACCAGCTATTGACAGGAAAACTTGAAGATCTAGACACAATCATCAATCCAAGTTCTTTCCGGATTTCTCCTGCAGATAGCTTTCTGCGGGCACTGCAGCTGTACCAGCACCTGGTAAGTCCCAAAGCCTCACACTCGGCCTCAGTCGTGTTGAGAAGGCATTTCAGAAAATACGGCAAATCGAACAGTTTTTGATTTCACTTCTAAGCAGTTGGCTGATTTGGATAGGGGTACCTGAGATATCACAAAAGAACAAATCAATGTCAAAGCGCAGGTCATACCCCTGAATCACAAAACTCAGCATCGCTCAGAATAGGTCTTGTGTTGTGGGTGTCAAACTGAAAATGGTACCGTAAGGCGCCCACATTGTTGGCTCCCGGGTGGTCTCGTTGACTCCCACCGGAGCCCAACCTTCTGCTTGTGTTCGCAATCTCCGCAGCCTGACTTCATGCTTCACGCGTCTCTTTCTGTAAGAAAGTTCTCTCGTTTCAAGGTTGGAAAAAAAGAAGGTCAGGTCCCGTTCAAGCAGGCCCCTTTCTGAATGCGCTTACCTTCTTTCTAGGTTGGAGGCCATCGCTCTTAGGTTGGAGGCCATAGAAGAGATGAAAAAAGGAAGGTAAGGCCCCCATTACAGGAGACCTTACCTTCCTTGTTCATCTCTTTTTCCTTCCTCCATTTTCCTAACTCACCGACAAGGCATTCACGGAACTGCAAAGGCCTGTTGATCAACAGCGATTTCCCAACGCCAGAGTTGCCCACGACAGCAATGTTTATACAGCCATCAACTTTGTCCTGGCAAAATTCACCAGCAAGACATCTTGCACTCTGAATTCTGAAAGACCTCAAGTAGACATACAAGAGCTCTGACAATGCTCCAGACCGGTGTTAAGGCATGCCAGGCTGTCGAGCCATGCCTTAGACGGGATTAAGCTGCATTCCGCAAGTCAGAAACATTCAAGCTGAATATAAGCCGTGCAACTTTACTCTGAAAATGTTGTCCAAGCTGCAGGTTGAGGATAATTCTTTCTAGCGTCCTCCCGCCTCTTGTGCTCCTCTTGCTGTGCCTCAAACCATGACTGTTTGATGCGAAAACAATGGATCGGCCTACCCGGTCAAGCAGCTTTGCTTCTCATTCGCGGTTGTGCAACTTTGGTGTTGTGAACAATGTTGGAGCAAGCTTTGATGAATATAGGGCCATTTAAATCCATTTAATCCAAGCATTCATGGGGCGTGCTGTGTATCGCATTTAAAAAAATACCGCACAACCATGTACCCCCGACCCATGCTTTCAAAAACAGTTTCTGTGGCTGGTTTCTGTGGGAGGCCTGCTTTTTTCAATACGCCGCTTGAGTCAGGCCTCAGCCTCTGTTTGTAACGCAGGGCATTCTGCTTAAGAATCCATGCTCCGTTCGTGGCGTCCTTGCTCCTAGTAGTAAGGCCAGGAGCCCCTAGTAGCGTTCTTGCTCCTAGTAGCGATGCCCTTTGCTCCTAGTAGCGTGCTTGCTCCAAGCGTATGTTTTTGGCAAAGCTGAGCAGTTCAACTCCTTTCCGTGCTGCTTCAGGTGCCTGTAATTCAGCTTCCCGTCTTGCAATCTCGGCTTGCTTCGCCCGGACCTCCTCAAGTAGGGAAAACTACAAGTACCCTCTTGCATCCAAACTCAAAAGGGAATACTTTGCTCGTGCGAACGCAGTCCTCTTTTTCTGCTCCCAATCGTTCACGCTCCTGGCAGACTTTGCGCTGCCACAAAATATCGATCCGTAAGGGGGGACAGGCCTTGGAAAACAGTTCTTGCAACGAGCCCAACTCTGCAGCCAGCTTTTTCAGACGGCGGGCCTCCTGTAAAAAATCACTCCGGGCTCAGAGTCGATTTCAGAAAAAACAAAAAATGCGATATCGCTAGTAGGTTGGAGGCCATTGCTAGTAGGAACATAAAGCTACTAGGGGCTCCTGGCCTTACTACTAGGAGCAAGGACGCTACTAGGGGCTCCTGGCATCGCTACTAGGAGCAAGAAGCTACTAGAAACAAGAAGGCCAATTGCTTTCCACCTCTGGCTTCACGGCAAGCGGAACGTGAGACGGGGCGGTCTTTTCTCGCTCAGCCAGTCCTGCCGCTTGAGATACAACAAAAAAGATCCAAAGAATCTGAGGACCAAAGGATTGTTCCGGACAGGTATGTTTATGTGCCATGAGCCCTAGATGCGCTTCATACTTGATGATGTCACACTGCAAGCCCGCTGAATAAACCCGCAGCATTAACCCAAGCAGAGTGGTGCTAGAGTATCAATCAAGTCCGCTGGGAATATGGTGCAGGCATGCCATTGATCCTGTAGCCCGTCAAAAGTGTGTCTACACAATCGTGTAGTGCCTGCTGCATGAAAAGACCCAAACGCGGAGAAGCATGGGTAGCCAAGAAAAGAAAAGCTCGGCCCAAGAATAGATAAACTCCCAAAATGATGAAAGAAAGGAGCAGCTCTTCTGGGGTGCCAGTCAGTCACTTGACCGAAAGAGCACCAACCACAACTGTGCACTGTGTTGGACACTGAGTGGATAGATTCCACGTAGAAAGCTGATGGTGCTTCGAAGACTTGGTGTGTTGGAAGCAGGTGGTAAATTCCAAAATTCCAGCGATAGTCTCATCTCTGAGGACATGCTCTTGGGCTGGTAATTGTCTATCGTCCCAAAGGCAGAGTTCCCCAGTTCCTAAAAGTGCTGAAGTGACGGAATGGAAGGATATGCACGCAGAAAGAGATCTTGTCCAGCAGTCCCAAACCCCTTTTCGCACTTCTTAGGTCACGGAGTAGACATCTAGGGCTGGACACTGAAGGTTTGACAGGGTGGAAACAGTGTTTCTGGGATATTACTGTTTCAGGTCGACACTGAAATTACCATCTTTGGATTGCTGTGTCTTGGAAGGCATTTACGCTCTGGCAGAAGAATTAAAGTGCTCCATAGTTGCCAAACACTGAAGATTTGACAAGGTCACACTTTCTGTGCAGCGCTGCAAGACTTGAAGTGTTAAAAAGGGATGCAACAAAAGAGGTAATGGAGACCCGATTGATCGAGAATCCGAAATAACAACAAAAAATGATGATCTGTTAAGTGTTTTTCCTTCCTTTTGTTTGGGCTTTGTTTGAGATGACCTTTTGATGAGGTGTTCTCTTTGTCAATTCTTCCTCTGGAGACAGACCTTGGGTTGGGAGGTAGAAAGGAAGGCAGATAGTCGGGTCGATAGATACCTGGCTAGCTAGATAGATAGGTTGATGGATTGACGAGCCCGCTCCACCATTCCAAGTTCCTTAAAGCCCAGCCAGTGCCATGCATGTGCAAAGCGAAGCTTACCAATCTGAGTCCCTCAGCTTTAGCTATTCCCGGCGTTGCAGGTTTACCCGAAACCATCAGCCCACTGAGGGAAAGCGCTTGGAGGGCGCCGGATGAACGGAGAGATGGAGCACGCAAGGATGTCAAACGTCTTGGTGATGTTGCGGATGCTGGGTGACCGAGGGATTGGAAGTCAAACGTAAAACAATCGGACGCTGAGCTTAAACGTGTGCGTGCGCGTACCGATATGGCAAAGGTTAATGCTCAACACATGCACTGCAATGCACGAATGCTGTGTGAGCGGTCCCTCGTTGATGGCCTCTGCCAGCAGGTCTTCTTCCGGCCTGGAAAACACATGGCGGTCTGTGCTGAGACGTTTCTTCCCCCAACCCCTCGACCGAAACTTCAATGCCAGGGGGACGAAGGCTCCAACTGCTTCAGCCACTCCTGCGGTAGAGCAGCACGTTAGCAGGCCATTGGCATTAGCCATGGGACAAGGTCTCCATGCGCCCGCCATCGTTTCCTCTGATTGCTCTTCACTTAAAGAGACTTCAAGAATTGCCGTTTACTTCGTATCGGGACCTGAGACTACGCAGAACCAACAAGGCGTGACGCAATCCGAGTACAGAGAGCCACGAGCACAAGGTGCGACTCTGGAGATCCGCCTGCGCTGATGGCCCGTCGAAGGTAAGGCCAGCCAAGTGCAGCCTGCAAATTCCCCCACGAGAGGGGCAAAGTGATTGAAAGGAAGAACACAAACTGAAAGCAAACGTGCATAAAGCTCACGGCGGGAAGTGTCTAAAGAAGTTCTAGACCTATATGTTTCTCTAGAACACCTACGTTTGTTACTATTAAACATCCATATTTTTCTCTACTGTTCTCAATTTCTTTACTTATATTTATATATATAATATATATGTATATGTATATGTATATATACTTCAATTCTTTGCTGCTTCTCTCTAAATATCTACTTTTCTCCAGAAATCTCTACTCTCCTCTAGAACTCCATGAATCCTCCACCTCATGAAGTTCTGCCAAAAGGCCAGCCCACATGTCAAAACCTGCGCTCGCCTTTCCCACTAAGTACCTTCCCACCGCAAACCCGCTCTACACATCTCTACACTGTGCTGCGGTTCACAACCCTCCTTACCTTCGTTTTCTTATCTCCCGTCCCTCAAAAAATATGCTACTAGTAACAAGGGCATTACTACTAGGAACAAGAAGCTACTAGTAACAAGTGCATCGCTTCTAGTAACAAGCGCCTTACTAGTAGTAACAAGAAGCTACGAAGAACGGCTTAGCTCCGTGCGCCCCAGCATCTGCTGACGACTCCTCTGGCTTCGACTCCCAGACCCTCGGGTCACTTGCACTTTGGGGCCAAGCTGAATTAGATGAACCCTCAAACATAACAGCATCGCTACTAGGGGCTCCTGGCTTTACTACTAGGAGCAAGAAGCTATTAGGAACCAATTCATTGAGGCTCAGACTTCAAGGAAGCTCCCCTCTCACGGGGGAAGCTTCCTTGAAGCCTGAGCCCTTCTGCGTCCTGTCAGGTAAGCTTAGTAGCTACCCCTTACTACTAGATACGCGTTGGCTCACCCTACCGCCTACTCCTCCCCCTGGCTTAAAAAAGCTTGTCACCACGTCGCCATGGGCTTTGTTCCCACAAATGGCTTCTTCATCGTGTCAATGACAGAACAAATCTGATCTGTCAAGCACTCAGTGCCAAGAATTCTGATTGATTGGAAGGCCGTAGGTCTTGTGGGTCACTACCCCTCATTGCTCTGAAGAGGAGAACTCCATTAAAGGTGACGGTAGTGTTTGCATTGCTTTATGTTGGGACGATGAGTTCACCTGTGCGAACTCAGTGCAGTGGTGTTTCTTTTTTCTCATGGTTGAAGGCCATTGCAAGTGGTTTGGAGGCCATTGCTATTAGTAGCTCAAAAGAAGAGTTGGAGGTCATTGCTTTGTGTTGCTTTGTTCCTAGTAGCGTCCTTGCTCCTAGTAGTAAGGCCAGGAGCTCCTAGTAGCGATGCCCTTTGTTCCTAGTAGCTTCTTGTTACTAATAGAAATGCACCTGTTACTAGTAGCGTCCTTGCTCCTCGTAGCGATGCCAGGAGCTGGTTTTGACCGCGTCGCTTTCCACACCTCTTTCGCTAGGCCCCAAGCTGCCCGGAAGAGTCCACATCTGAACGGCGCTTGAAGAGTGCATTGAGAAGCTCCTGTCAGCGTCAGAGTGGTAAGTCAGCATTGTTGGTAAGAAGGAAAAGAGGGAGAAAGAAGAAGGGATCCGAAGGGGTCGTAAGGTTTTGGCTAGCTTGTTAGTAAGTAACACCTCCAAGACCTAAGGCGAGCACAGGTGACGGTGGGGAGCAACAAAAGAAGTGTGAACGCATGCTTTCGCAACAAAGTCCCGACACTTGCGCAAGACTTTCTTGGGAACCGCGCCGAGGGCATTGGTGGCTCTTTGACGAGTTCTTGCAGCTAATTCTGGGTGGCTTGTCTGTGCTTATGAGCTGAAAGCAGGTGTCTTAGTCTCAGGACGGCGTGGATGACAACGTTGATCAGCACAAAGCTGAAAGCACTCTAGAGGTGCAAAGTGCTATTGCTTTATCGCATGCCAAGATATGCTAGATGTAATGCTCCCTCACTTTCATAGCGTGGGCTTGTGCCAAAGCTTCAAGAGGCTTTCTTTCAGGAGAAATGACAAATCGACGAAGCGTACCGCAGGAGGAGGAGGAGGAGGGGCAGTGAGAGGAGATAAGAGGGGAAAAGGCAGGGGGGATGGAGGTTGACCTCTCGTGATGTTTCTTGTTTTCAGCTTTGTATTGAAGAAGCTGAACAAGGTCTGGGGTAGGGCCCATCACAACGCCCCAAAAGCAAGCCAGGCGAACTCATCTGGTAAGCCGTGCTTGTTTGGCACTGCAGCCCCTATCATCCGCTCCTGTGGTTGTTTGTAGAGCAACGTTTTACCACTGCAAAACGAAAGAGAAAGCAGCTTGCCAGGTTGCGATCAAAGTGATTCTGAAGTATGTCCTCCAAATTTGCCCAGACTTTGACTCTGGTTGACTTGGTTTCCTTGTTTTTGCTGGGCAAAGCGGGAGGAAGAAAGGGGAAGCAGTGGTGTGATTGCCGGAGGAGCAAGGAACTAGCGTCTAGTCGCTCTTAGCATCTGCCCTTCTGGAGTCTTGCAAGCCTCCAACCTTCCAACCAAGCTTTGAAAGAAAGCACACCTTTTGAAGGCGTGTGACCACTTGACTGGACTCTCCGGCTTGGCTGACAGCTGGAGCAGCAAGCAACAAATTAAGCCAGCATAGACCCAGATAGCTAGGCAGCATCCCACGACCTGTTCAATGCGACTGGCTGGAACAAGAATGTACACAGCCTGCACGCACAGCCAGCTTACGGCGCCTCCACAGCGCGCGCAACCGGCTGACACCAGCACCGGTGCGCTTTGCCAGCTGACACGGGGGCGGCGCCAGCACCCGACCAGCACCGCCGTCCGTCTTAAACGCGCGCTCAGCCACCAGCACCCAGGATCACAACACCAGCACCAGCACTGACACCCCTTCGAAAGCGCGCGCAGCCAGCTCATTCTTATTAAGTTTGCAGTAAGAACCCCATAGCTATCCCTAGTGTGCTCTTGCGCGTATAAGCTTATGCGCACAAAAGTATGCGCGCAAACAGCAAAGCCCGTAAGTGTCATTGGCCCGAGGCCAAGCAGTATCCAGCGCCACTATTGCCTTTGTAGCACGCTTGAAGCAACGATGTGTAGAACGATACGGCCGTATGATCTTGCGCGTATAAGTTTATGCGCGCAAAAGAGTGCGCACAAACGGCAAAGCCCGTAGGCTTCACTCGCCCAAGGCCAAGCAGTATCCAGCACGACTTGAAACAATGGTCGGTTGAGAGCCTGACGTTGCGCATAGAACAGTGTACGTACAAAAGTATGCGCGCGAACAGTACAGCCCTTGACAGCACCAGCACCGGCACCCAGCACCAGCACCAGCACCAGCAACCTGTCTCCACCACGTGCACAGCTCACAGCACCGGCGCCCAGCACCCAGCACCAGCACCGGCACCAGCAACCTGTCTCGAAAGCGCGTGCGGGCAACTCATTGTTATTTGAAGTAAGGACCCCATAGCTTCGCTATCTGGGGAAAAATAAAAACGCCAAAAGGAGCACGTACAAGAACAAAGTAAAAGCAGAAACTACCAAGCGACAAAAGCAAAAGGTGCAAAAAACCAAAGGAACATTTTGAACAAACATGAAAATCTGCAAAAGAGGCTCCGAAAGCAGGAAGTGGCAAGAGTGAGCCAAGCAGAAGAATCAAAGCGAGCAAGAGCAACAAAAAGAGTTGTTCTCAAGAAGAGTACAAAAATAGAAAACACCAGTTTAAAAAATAGAACGCTCCATTTATCAATCTCAGCCAACAAAATGCAGTTGGTGAAACTCATGCAGATTGGATTCTTAGTCCCAAATCTGCGATTACCACTCTGTACAAGATTGTCTCTGTCGTTCAGCCACAAAGCGTTGAAATGCTGCAATACCTTGAACGCATAGCGGTTTGCGCCGAGACAAGGGGTAACGCAGCACTCAGCATGCCTCACGCCTCAGCATGCTCAAAGTGTTGGCAATTTCCGGCACACGGTGTATGATCAAGTGTGCGCCACCAACACGTGCCAATGTGTCGCTTTGCAATTGCCAGTGACTGTGCTCCGAGCCAGTGCCAAGGGTGGAGGGCGTGGAGGTGGTGGCAGAGAGATGCCATGGGTCCTGCCACGTCTCAACTCCATTGCTCCTAGTAGCGTCCTTGCTCCTAGTAGCGATGCCCTTAACCCTGAAGGACTCTCAATTTGAGACAACAAAAATAGGCTGGCTAGCAGCCAGTTTGATGCTCATCTAATCTAATCGAGTCATCCGAGGCATGCACTGCTCACCAATAATTGGATTGAACCTGAGAAGAAAAAATGTCAAGGTCATGAGGTATCATGAGTATGGTCACGATTGCTTGTGTGTCCAAGAACCATACCCCAAGTGATTCCGCATCGCCAAAGCTGCCTCTCTGACTCTGGAACGATACCTGGTGAGATATCACAAAATGTGTGGGTCAAACAGTGGCTGAAGCAATTGGTGCCACAACTGAAGCAGAAGCATGCGGAGTGGCTGCGCACCGAATCATGTTGTCGTGATGCTCCAGCTGCGCTCCGGCAGGTGTCCTGTCATAGCCTAGGCAACAAGGCCAGGAGGACACCACAAAGGAAAAAACATGAAAAAATACAAAGAGGTAAGGAACTCTTTAATGACGCCTTTAAAGAGGCCCTTACCTTCTTTTTCTTCTGTTCAAATCTTTTTTAGAACACAGGACACTTGCTTGTTCAGACGTCTTTCTCGGTGCAGCTCAATGATTCACGATATTGAAAGGCTGACCTGGCAAGGCCGATGATTCAAATATATAAGAAATATGAATGTAAGAGGTATTTTTGCAAATTAGATCTGGGCTTCAAGGTCTTGGCCTAGAAAACTCTGTATCTAGGCTTCGGTTAGAATACACCGGCTCTGCACAGCTCTGCACGGCCTGAAACGTTCTTTCTCCCCATCATTGGGTCATGCTGCATTCGCGCCACTCGATCCACTTCAGCCTGATCACCGGCACAAGGGGTGCACCAGTACAGCTGCAGTGCAAGCTAAGTGCTTGAAACCTCTGACTCTCATGGATTCTCATTTGATGGAGCTTTCTTGGGCTTTACTCTTCAACTAAGAGCACCTGATCAGCACCGGCGATGCAGCGCCATCTATGCTCTTCTCTGTTGTATTTGCATTTCCGTCGAGCCTCAAGAAAAATGCATCAAAACCTCAATCACTTCAGCCAGGTCCTCTGTGCTTTTCTGCATTGCACTCCTCGGTGACTTCATCGCGAAGGACTTTGGCATGCTCGCGTTCTGCATAGTTCACCTTCAAACCAGCAGACCACCCTACTAGCGATGGCCTCCAAACTACTAGCTATGGCTTCCAACCTACTAGCGATGGCCTCCAGCCTAATAGCTTCTTGCTCCTAGTAGTAAGGCCTGGATCTACTAGTAGCGTTCTTGTTCCTAGTAGTGATGCCCTTTCCTCACCTCTTGACTTTTTGCCCACCTCTTCGCAGTGAATCCCTGCTGTCATGCGCTCTCGAGAACCAATGTAGCCTGGGCAGTTCATGACCTCAGCACAAAATATTTGGTACGAACTGGATCATTTGCTACAGACTCTAAGGCTGTGTCAACATCGATAGGATTGTCTCTGTTCCTTCACAAGAATACAAGTACAGAGGAATCAGAGGAATCATCACAATACTCGCTCTTAACTTCCAAACTTCTGTGTGGCGAGTTCAAGAAGTTGTAGGGACATGACTCGTAGCGGAAGTAGGCACCCGAGCGGTGCCTCAAGCGCTCCTGGGTTTGACTGCTTCAACCATCAAGCGGGCGAAACCAAACTGCCACACACATCTTAAGCTGTCACAGCGATCACGAGAACTCTCAAGATTGCCAGCTCCTTTTCGAGATCATCTTTCGTTTTGAGCGCATGCCGATCAGATCTAGACCTTCAAAAGGTGGGCAGAAGGTCTTATATCAGTCTACCAGTAGAGTGCACGAGACAAAACACAGTTGCTGCGTTTCATGAGCTTCGTTTCAAGTTCTGAAACGCTGCTGGCCTTGGTTGCATACTGTCCTGAGCAAAATGCTCGGAGGACAAGCAACTTGAAAATCGAAAAAAAAAAAAAAAGACCCGTCTTTCTCTTTAGCGGAGGTTGGAGTTACGGAGGCATAAGGCAGGACATGTTGGTAGCCAGTAGCAAGGAAGCCAGCTTCTGGTAGCATCCGTACGCAGAAGGGCTCAGGTTTTACTGAGAGAGGGTGGGAGAAGCTTCCTTGAAAAACACCTAAAACCCTTTAAGAACCTCATTGTTAAGAGTTCGAACAAAAATTCCCGCAAGTTCTTTTGCACCTGAAACAATTCTCCAACAGCCCGGCATAAAGGTAAAATCAGAAAGGACTAATGCTGCACTGGCTGCTGGTCCGCGCAGCCTGGTTTCCGGGAATTGTCGAACCAACAGCTGCAATCCATCGCAACATGCAGCTGGTCTCTGGACACTTTGTGCATTAGCACTATTAGGTTGGAGGCCATCGCTAGGCCATCACTTCTGGGTTGGAGGACTGTCTTCAGTATTCGGAGCGAAGTGGAAGCTCGATTTTCCGAAGCCTCCTCTCGGAGCATTCTTCGTGTGAAACCAGCAGGGCATGCGGGTCTTATTTGCACCCTGGAAACTCGTGAAGTTCAGATTGCTTGCCCAGTCCATGCGCTGCAGTCGACGTTAACAATTGATGCCTAAAGCAAGCAGAAAGGGGTCATGGCTCTAACCTGGTATTGTAGCTCTGTATAATATATTGATATATTGGGATTTGATGGCTCCTGGCAACACCCTATGAATTCTAAGCAAACATCTCGCTGCAACACTCTAACTCTGCAAGGGTCGACATGAATCGCTGAATCGTCAAGGCTCGAATATGGATCGCTACTGGGAACAAGAACGCTACTAGGAACAAGGGCATCGCTACTAATAACAAGTGCCTTACTAGTAGGAACAAGAAGCTACTAGGAACAAGAACGCTACTAGTAGCTCCTGGCCTACTAAGAGCAAGAAGCTATTAGGTTGGAGGATATCACTAGTAGGTTGGGGGCCATCGCTAGTAGGTTGCAATATAAATTTGGAAGAGTTTCATCATGGCCACACACAACCCTGGCACATCTAGATCTAGTTCAAGAAAGGTTTGGGGTGGCGAAGCTGGCGCAATTGCAACAAGGAAATTGCATTTTATCAGAAAATTGCCGGGCAAGCAAACCCAATACCGCAAGGCATAGGATAAATGCATCATTGCCAGCACAGGAGTCATCAATAAATTCAGTAGCATGTTGGGGCATCATTCACCAAAAGCCCATTCAAGCCCCCAGCCAATACCCAAGATCGCACGGTTGGAGAAGGGGGCAGCGCAACGGGGAAGTATAAGAGAAAGCGAGACATACTCAGCCGACAACACAAGTCGAAGACCGAAGCCAAATGCATCACGAGAACAAACGTCGCGGCGGGCGATTGCAAGCATGACCAAAGCACTGTGAATTGCCCTGGCAGAGCTGCAAAAGCTGGCGCTGAAAATGCAAGCGGGCTGTTTTCTGTTTTAGACGCGAACAGTCGAGACTTCTACAGCTAGACAAAGGATAGGATTTAGATATTTCCAGAAAGAAGTACAAAGAAGTTGGATGTTCACAAGATTGCAAAGGTAGAGATTTCTGGATCAACATGCAGAAAAGTTGAAGCTTTTAGAGACAGAAAGCAGGAGAGCGAAAATATCTGGAGAAGAACGCAAACAACTAGGGGTTCTAGAGAAAAAGAAAAGAAGTAGAGATGACTTCTAGACCTCAAAGCAAGAATGGTAGAGAAAAACATAGAAAAGTCGTGATTTCCAGAAAAGAGTTGAAAGTAGGTGGTTCTACAGGAATTTGTAGGAAAATGTCTGGATTTGGGAGAAAAAGTGCAGAAGAATCACCGCGTTACACGTCGCCACGTTACAGTTCACCACATCACTAGGCACCTAGTAGCGATGGCTTCCACCATACAATATATCACCACGTTCCACTTATCTCTAGTAGCTTCTTGTTACTAGTAGTAAGGCCGAGCCCCTAGTAGCGTCCTTGCTCCTAGTAGCGATGCCCTTTGGTCCTAGTAGCTTCTTGTTCCTAGTAGCGATGCCAGGAGCCCCTAGTAGCGAACATTGTTCCTAGTATCTGATACATTCAAATCACCCTTGGAAAATGCTAAAATTGCTTGCAGAAATCCAATGAAAGCATGCCTGGCTGCACAGCACGTGCAGCTATGCAGTAGAAAACCTCAACCAAGTGAGGAGCATGTGATGCAATGCTCAAACGTTGCTCAAACCGATTGTGCTAGCGCTTAAAAGAAAGTCTTCGATTTGGTTGCGTACTTCTTCTGCCGCTTTCTCTGAGCGAAAGGTAGTCGACGACGTTCACCCAGCACATCAGTGTTCTTCCGAACACGTTTGCCATGTTGAAGCCTGAGTTTGCATGAAAAGAGAACAAAAAGGAAGGTCTTCGAGTTCCTTTCATAAGGCCCCGTTTGAAGAAGCCTTATTAAAGAGGCACTTTGACACCCTTACCTTCCTTTTCTTCCTGTCATCTGTGTCCAGGTCACAAGCAAAAGCACAGCACTCGGATCCAGGCTTCCAAAGCTTGTGCCGAGAGAGCGCTGGCAAAGCCTCCATCTACCATTAGGTCTGCTTGGTGTCCTTTCTGTTCTAGCATTTCCGCAAGAATATTCTCTTGAATATCTGAAGCTGTAGCACAAAGTACACCACATGCCCCAAATCTTGACGAACTGGCCAATAATAGTTCATTGCTGTCAAAGGAGGAAAGTGTAGATTCCTTGTGATTCCTTGAGGCGCAGCTTCAACCAAAGGTCTATGAGCGAAGCTGGTTGTTCTTGACAGTGGCTAAGAACTCCAGTTCCACAGCTGCTTCCACAGATTGGTAAAAGAGATAAGCAATCAACAGACCTGCCTCGACGTTCACTGTGGTTGGATCCAATCTCCGTTCGATCGCCTAATCTTCAAGGCGAGATGAGCCCATGGCCCTGCCCGTGCCAACAGCTGTGGCAAAGCTCCAATGCTTAGACTTGGAGCAGTACCAAAGCCCTTTCTCTTGTGAAGCGATCACCTTGCACTGTTGCGCCCACGGCAAATTCACTGGTAAACCCTAAGATCTTTCACATCAAATTATTGGTTGGGAACAAGAAGCTACCAGGGGCTCCTGGCATCGCTACTAGGAGCAAGGACGCTACTAGGGGCTCCTGGCCTTACTACTCACGAAACTTGCGGTCGCGGTCTGCGCGCTTCCTACGACCCTTCTCCGTGTTGGAGGGTGTCGAGGAGTTCGGTAAATATCTTGTGGTAAGACATTGTGAAAAGGTGGCTATACAATGTGCTAGGATGACAGACTAGCAAATTAGGAATTCTGCAAAGTGGTTGCACATAACTAATTAGGTGCTGGTGGCACTGTGACTCCGTCAAGATCCCCTCCTCGATGCCATGCTTCGCGAAGTTTACGTCGGTACAGAAAACGTTGATGAAACGTAAGCTCTGTAGCCGGCGGAACTGCAAAAATCGGTGAGGCATGTCGCATGGGAATCATGCCATCTGGATGGAAAGGTGGTTTGCATTGAAGGTCTTCAACATATCGCGAAATCGTTCGCTGAACAAGGTCTGAATTAGGGATCTCTGGTCGCAAAGGCATGCCCCCTGTAAAGGATCTTCCCCATCCAATTTGCGTAAGGCTGATAGAACCAGTCTTGGTAAATTTTGGCAGCAGGGGGGTATCTGAGTAACCCTGAAGGTATAGAACAATGGTGCGAAACGCCTCAGCTTGTTCTCGTAGCGATCGTTTAATAGTTGGTAAGGCCAGGACCCGTGGGTCTTGCCAGTGTAATGGTTGTGAACGTTTGTAGTCGTCAAGACAGAGCCAAGTAGGAAATTGGAGGCCTGTATTAATTACGAATGCTATGGTCAATTCAAGCCATGTAATTCCAGAAGTCACAATTGGATCAGAGTGGTCTAAATCTGGATCTGGCCATCGGAGTGCGGCACAAAACTGAAGGACTAAATCTGCATATTGGTTACCCCAAACACAAGCAGTAACGAAAGCAGGGTGTATATGGGGACGGAAAAGGTGGACTGCAGCATGGATGGTGTAAACTGCTCTGGACCTATAGAGGGCACCCCAATCTAATGATGTATCATGAGATAGATCAGTAGACGTCTGAAGCTTTGATTGTTGTTTCTCCTGAGCATGACACAGGTTAAGATCAGCAAGATAGGTGAGAATGCACTGTGTCTGGCGTAATTGGTCCTGATGCCAGAGGTCTGCTCGTTGAAATAGTGTGTCAATTTGAACATGATCAGTATGACGCGCTCGGACTGCAGCATGATCAGCCCACGAGTTGCCAATGACATCATCACGGGCGGGACCCGGAGGTAGGGTTTGTGGGTCCTGATGGGATCGAACTTTACGTAATGAAAAACGTTCAGGATCCCAACAAGTGGCAAGGGTTTGCAAAAGATTGGCATTTGCAAGTCGATGCCACTGTAGTGAAGAATTAGGCTGAGAGACTTGGCTAACGGCGTTTATGGCATATTGGGAATCTGTGGTAATGGTGATCTTGTGTGGCCAAGATTGTTTTCGCACGTGCTGTGTAATCCATGTAATGGCAGCAAGTTCGGCTCGGGCTATAGTCTGTTGTCCTTGCACATGCTGGATTTTGATTGTGATATATGGTGTAGAGGATGGATCTGGACAGAACTGGATGAGTGACCAAGCCGCCCGGCGAGTCTCAGGGTGAGTTGGTGTATCGGCGGAACCATCTGTGTAGAAATAGAGTGTGTCATCATGGAGACGAATGGGTGTATGGCCTGTATCTGCGCCACGGTGCGCAAGGAGCTGTCGCAGGATGGTAATGTCCGGGAAAGTATGTGGCAGTGGGAGCCATAGTTTCTGTGGATTACGAGTTAGGTATGACACTGCCTGTGGATGACGTTGTCGAATAGCATGGAATTTGGGACAGTCCAATTGTTGATGGGTATGCGTGTCGGGTTGCCCACAATGAGGACATTTGATGTCAACGGTAGATGTCCATTGGGCCTTGACCGCACCCACTTGGTATCCGCCAGTAAGATTATAGGCAACTTGACGAATAGCCGTGGGAGACATTGATCGCAGAGCACGAGACAAAATGGTATAATCGAAAGGATCGACAGAGACTCCTTTGCGATGGCAAATCTGACGATTAAGGTAATATGCCCAAGAGCGTCTGATCATGTGTCGAATCGATCGAAGGGTATCATGTCTCAATGAGACAGACAAATAGCCATCGAGTGTGAGAGAACCGTCCGTGGCTAGGGACCATCCAACTAATTGTAAATATCTGGCCATGGCTCCTGCTGGACCAAGGGGCGGTCCGCTGTGACAGACTATGGACTGAACGAATTCTTGTGCAAGCTGCGGATTAGTATGATAGAGCCGACGTATAAAAGACAGTCCTGTGGCGATAACATATAGTAGAGGGTCTTGAAGTTGGGAACTAAACAGGTGGACTGCGAGCCAGCTTGAGATCTGTTTTTCCGGTCCTATTAAGGCAATGGTTGCCTCACGTCGGAGTGTTCGAAAGTGCTTTTCCCCGACAATTTGAGTTTCTGTTCCGAAGAAAGCGTGTGGCCAAATTGCTGTTTGGATAAACTGGGCCTTTTGGGTGATTGTGGTCTGGAACCAACGCAGTCGACGACATCTCTGGACTGCACTATTAATCTTTGTTTTAAGGTGTCCCAGTGTAATATGGCGTGTATAATGAGTCATACAGCCGAGATCTTTGGTTGAGTTAAGGATGCAAACCGGGTTATCATCAGGAAATTCCTCTTCAAGGAGCGTTTGCCATTCCAACCGCGCCTCTTTTGTAGCACCCCATGCCCAGGATTTAGTATAATCTATCTGCGTACGAAGATCTTCAACTAAACGTTGCAGCTGCCGGAGTGCGTGGAGATTATCTCTCTGTGTGGTTGTGAGGTAGGACCAGTTATCAGCATATGCGTATGGAAAAACAGTGGGGGACTGAAGGGTCCAGTAAAATGCTGATGACACAACAAGCATGGCGCAGACAGACATACTGTCTCCCTCAGGGACTCCCGTAGTCATGGTGATAGGGGGACCTATCTGTTGACGAATCTGCAGACGACGAGTCATGCGGCTGAGGTTTGTAAACCAGAAACGAATGGCTTGAGGTGGTGCGCCATGATAGATGAGTAAGTGATACAGCACCCGACGGGGTAAGAGATTAAATGCTTTGATAAGGTCGAGGGTAAAACCTCGCCAAGGCAGTGACCGGTGCTTAGCTGATTCGATCTGATATTGCTGGATAAAGGTAATATCTTGTACGCTCCTGAATGGAAGACCCCCCGATATGGCACTTGGCCAGGTATGTGTCCACTGATTTAACAATTGGTCGGCAATAAGTTTGGATGTGAGGCGGCTAATGTAACCCAGGATTGTAATTGGACGACCGTCGGAAATGGATGTAGGTGGGACTCGTTTAGCCAAAAGAATCACACGGGCTATGAGTTGGTGCGCCGAAAGGCCAGTGGGCCAGATCGATTCGAGAATATGCGCGAAATCTTGTATGGCTGCGGGTGGAAGCATCTGCAGTTCCTCAGCTCTCCATCCATCAATGCCCACTGCCTTGAAAGGCTTCAGTCGTTGAATTGTCTGGGACAAAAGATGAGGATCATTCCACTGAATCGTGAGTGGAGCAGTAGGTGGGATACGGTTACGAAGCGTTTGCAGAAGTTCCTGCCAAGAGTCGTCACTGTGTTCATCCAAATCTGAATCCCGATTCCAAAATTGCGACCAGTATGTCTGGAAAGATGTCGCCATTTCTGGTAGTTCAAAAGCGTAAATGTCCTGAATGAGGTCATCGTGTGTAGGGACATGACCTTCTAATACCTGACAGGTAACATGGTGGTCTTGCTGGTCTAACACACGAAGCGTTGCCGTCCCAAAGCGGGCGGCGGCAAACAAACGCAAAGTGACTGGTTTGTGTATGATGAGTTGAAGTGGTCCTTTGGATCCTCTGCACAAGGTGGCGGTTGTTTGGATCTGGACGGGGAAACCTGGCAGAATTTTTACCTCTTGAGCTTTAAGCTTCTTGTAGTAGTGTGAACTGGATTTATACTGCACATCAATGTCAAGACCATGTTTTTGAGATTGTCGCTGTAATTTGGCTTCTTGTTGACTATATAGGTCTGCATCATATTGTGTTATCTGTCGAACTGAGTACACAAAGTCGTAGGTGGGGAGTTCTACTGGCACGGCGGCAACAATTTCGAACTGTAAGAGCCATCGGTCCCATGACCTGCCATAACCATGGGCCTTACGAATGGTGTGCCACAAAATTGTCATATCTCGAAGCTGAGGCGAAGACTCCCCGCAAGGTACATTAGAGGAGGTCCTATTATGTTTTTGATAGAGACGTTCCAAGCATTTTAAACGCCGGACTTGGCGGACCTTGTGTCGGCTTTTGAGGGATGTGACCTCTGTAGGTGGATCATAATAGCCCATGCTATCACGCTTGGGCGATTTTGGGCATGAGGTACGAATGAGACGAGGTGTAGCACAACGGCCTCGAAATAGCTTTGGCAGGAAACCCTGCGGATATTGTAGTGGATTGGCTTGTTTCTGCCATCGAAGTGTGTGATCGATAGCGCTTTCCACGTTGGAGGACCATTTATACAAGGCACGAGCTGAATCTCCTTCTTGGGTGTCTGAAACAAAACGGTGATACTGGCTATATTGCTTGTCGAACTCGCTATGGTTGATTGAAAAATTGTCCATGACTTGGGGGTATACCATGTGAAGGTGTCAATGTGTCTGGTGGGTACATTGAAGAGAACACGAACCACACAATGGTCAGCGAACTGGTGCTCTGGACCAACATCAATTCGTAGGATATATTTCTGTAAGAATGGGTGGTATATCATGGAATCGTAACGCGTCGCACCTTTGCATGTAGGTGGAAGCTCGAAGCCAAAAACGTTGCGGTGAAATTCGAACATCTCACTACAACCGCTTTGCTGAAATAAGGAGAAGGCGTCGAGTTTTCGGACATCAGTGTTAAAGTCACCAGCCACAATAAATGGCAATGTAGTGGTAGTGACATGTAACCAAATATCATGTAACAGTTGATTGTTGACTATCCGTGCTTCAGCCGACTTACCAGTTTGGAAGTATGCTGATACCACCAGGAAGTCTAAAATGCCGGTAGAAATGATGACACTGTTCAATCGACATGTTTCCCACGTTGATGAGGGAAAGGTATGCCTTGTATCGCGGGAAGAGAGGCGTGTCATGATTGCGGTACCTAAATTGTCACCCCGCAATGAGTGACCGAAAGCGGGATCAACTTTTGCCACCTTGTCAGGTACCGGAGCTGACCAAAAGACCTGATACGGTGTGGGCCGTAGAGCCTGGTTAAAAGCCATCTGGACAGTCTTAGTGGCTGCTGTCTCTGCTAAGCAGAGGATATCAGTATCTAGAGCAAGAAAGTCATCTTCTTTACGATAGATGGTTGTGGGATTAATCAAACTGAGAGACAAGTGTTGACATGTAGCCGACAATGCGGTGGGACCTGGGTTGGATGCCTCTCCAATCCGTACGGAGCATTTCCAGTCATGGCATCGCTGATGAGATGGATGAAAGCTAATACACAAATGGGATATAAACTCCCTGGAGAAAATCCATCCGAGTGGGACACAAAAGGAGATTTTTTCACGCCTGATGGTGTCCTGACAGTGCGTGCTTTTGGCCAAGAAAGATTCATGTCTTGGAGTATTTCGGAAATAGTACGTGTGATGTATCCATTCTTGTCTGAGTTGGTATATCGATTGTTCTGGGCCAAAAGCCGGGCCGACTTTGAGGCCATAAGAAAAGTTTCTTGAACGAGTAGTGTCCTCAAAAAACGTGGCCAATGTGATGAAGCATGTCTGATACCATCTTTGGTACTTACATCTACGAGACTCCTGAGGCATGAAGTGTGTCATGGAATGAGGACACAGACTCTTGGAAAGTAATCGCAGGGATCCACTGATTGAGATGTTGTGTGGTGAGAACCACATAGTGAGTATCTGAATTGGCTGAGAGTCAGGCAGCCTAAACCTGTCCGAAAAACGGGCAAAAGAAAAAGGATCGTCATTCGTGTTGCAAACAACAAGTATCAAATCCCGGAAAATGAGATATTGGACTGTCTGACTTACAGCATTGCTATCTTGCATTGGATTAAATGCATCGAATTTGGCACTCTCAAAGACTCATGATGGTGGCTCGATTTGCATGGCTCCATCCGATTTGGCTCGTTTGGCTGTATCGTCTGGACATGTCTGGCCAAGCTTGGCAAGGATTGCGCTGAACCCTTCTTTCATGCCGATATTAGTCTCTTGGAGACTCTTTTCCAGGCAATGGATTCGTTGATCAAGGGTAGCGCGCATGGATGTTTCTGAAGTCTCGATCTGCATGCGCATCTCAGCACGGACTCGCGTAAACTCATTTTGCATATCTTGCCTGATCTTGGTTTCATTGTCTTGGCTGGCCTTGGTGGCCTTGGTTAAGTCACGAATTTGGATCTGAATTGCTGCGATATCTGATGCCTGAGATGCTGATGTATGATTGGATGATCTAGAGGATTGACTGGTCTTTGAGGACCAGACACGAGAGGGATCGGAGTTGCTGGTAGATTGTGTCCGTGAAGTGGCATCACCTAGGGATGGGTTCCACTGAGCCCATGGGTCCCAGGTGTCCGGGGTACTGGAATCACTGGCAAACTGAATAGGTGGTAGACTTGGTTTGACAGGCTGCGCCTTCATACCACCGGCCACAATGGTGGGTTTAGCTGGTACTGTCGATGTGACTGGCGCAATGAGAACTGTAGACTTACCCCACAAATAGTGGCATGCCTCGATCTTATCGCTTGCGGCAAGGAGCCACGTATTAGGAGCAAGACTACGGACAGGACGCATTCTAAGTGCCTGCTTTTCAATCCAAGTTCGAATGTCATCAGCAGTAACGCCGTGCGGCAATGGTGACAACTTTACGAAGCAGTTTGCAGGAATATGTGTTTGCTTAGGAAGTGACGGAGTAAGGAGATTCTGTGCTTCTTCGTACACTGAACTGGGCACTCTGAGGCCGTATCCTTTTTTCCCCGGAAGGAGACAACTAGTCCTGCATGCTCGGGAATCTTCTTTGCTGCTTCTAATGCTTGGGTATGGTCATGGTCGCGGAGCCAGACCACCGCATATGATGTATCGATCAAATTTCCGTCGGCAGTCTTTGGATTGACAAATATGCCTTGTGATCCCGACTGGGCAAGAACTGCGGAGATCTTGGAGGTGTAGAGTCGAACATGTACTTGGAAGCTCTCGGCTTGCTCTGGTTCTACGGCCTGGTTATTGTTCCGCCAACTTCGACCCCAAGGCTTGTTCACAACGTTTCGTGTGGGATCGATCGAGAAAGTTTTCCATATTGTCTTTAATGGACCGTCACACAGTTGACCCCAAAGGGAGTCAGCAAGCTCGGAACGCCATGCGGTGAATGCGACAACAGAGGTGGGTTCCGTATTAATGTCATCCTGATCGGCACCACGCAAAACTGCCTTAGCCGTGCCTAACATGTGGACACAAGCCGCTATCACGACTTTGGCGTCTTGTGCGTCTGTGGCTGGCAAATTGCAAGGATGACAGGACTTCGACTCGAGTGGGCAGGTAGGTCCCAACACTACCATGATACATGGTAGAGAAGCTGATTGGTGATTCTGCTGAAACTCGAGTGCTTCTTGGGCGTCGATCAAAAAGACTCCCTGGGACTTGGTTGAGTCCGTACCATGCGGGATGGACTCCCCGTTTGTATCGTGGAACAAGTGGTCGGACAAACGAAAATCCGCGGCTTTATGGACATTGGTCTGCTGAAAGCGCCTTGCGACAAATTTGCGAATGCGTTTGGTCGTGTCGGCCTGAAAATCAGCGAAGTCCGGCAAAGGTATGTGGTAGTATAGAGCTGTTTGCTTGATTTGCTCAAGCTTCATTTCCGAGTCACTCATGGCAAGTATTTGTTGAAATCTGGTGACACCTGCCAAAGTCAAAACGTCTTTGACGAATTGTGGTGTTTGGATGCTCGAAGCTCCACTTTGTAAAAGGAAGTCAGTCATGGCCTGGTTTGTGCGAAGAGCAAGATCGGCTTTGCTGCCACCCCCGGATAGCACTCCAATCAAGTGAACTCTGTTTAGGGGAGAATCTTTTTCTTCTTGAGCAATATACCCAGCAAAACTTTCTTCTGGCGATAACCTTTTACCTCTCAGAATGGATCTGACCTGGACTTGTGGACCGAGAAAAGCACTTGCAGCGTGCCATGCTGATGCGAAAATGTCTGTCTTGGTTGTAATCGGAAGATGACCTTCCCAAATCACTGTTGCCCATAGCTTGAGGGATAGGTGAACCGTGTTAGTAGTAGGATTTGAACTTGGTGGTATGTACCACGTGGTGATATGTGCAGCGAGAATGTTTCGCACGGCCACCGAATCTACGAAAAGCTGAGCGCATGCTGGGAGGATCATAACTGGCCTTACTACTAAGAACAAGAAGCTACTAGGGGCTCTGTGCTGCTTGGCTCCACGCGTCTTTTTTGAGGACCTGTATCGCTCTGCAATGGATCCTGCAACCGATCAAAACACTGATTCCAGGTGCAGGTTTATTGTCAAAGGCTGCTGGCGCTGTCCTGCTGTTTGGCTTTCATGATTCGCTTCCTCGGTTGCCACGTGGAAGACATTGAAGGAAAACCAACGCAAGACTAGAATCTAGAATTTCCAACGCTAGTAGGTTGGAGGCCAATAGTAAAGCTATCGGCCTTCTCAAGTGTCCAGAGATCTTGCCCTTCGCCTTATTGACGTCACGCACTGCCTTCTGCACCTCGCAGGTTCAAAGCACAAACACGTTGGCCGAAGCGAATCAAAGCTTGAGCCACGGCACCGGAGTGGAGTTGGTGAAGTCTTCTGGCACCAAGTAAGACGGCACCTTTCTGGAAAGAATTCGGAGAAAGGAAATGAATGCGTTAACACAAAAAAACAAGGCTTTGAAGCTTTAGCGAGTTTAATTGTCGTCAACCCCTCAATCCTGCCCTCTTCAAAGCACTTGGGCCCCTGCAGTTTTCAAATGGGCTCTGATTGATTTCTTCTCTCGCAGTTGCCGTTGCATCCTTCGCAAAGAAACTTTCATGTTTGATGAAGGAGCAGGAAGCAAAGAAATTTCTGTATATAGGTTGGAGGCCATCGCTAGTAGGTTGGAGGCCATCACTTCTAGGTTGGAGGCCATCGCTACTATATATATATATACATACACTGGCAAATGACCCAAACCTCAAGTCAGGCGCTCAGGTCCGCAAAATCTCCCTTCGGATACTTCTGTATGTCAACCACGTACAGACATGTCGCCAAAAAGCAAAGGCCAACGGGCAAGGCACGAAAATGTAGACATCAAACGATCCACGAGGTAGAAAGCAGAAGGCCATCGCTATTGGCCATCGCTAGTAGGTAGAAAGCAAGAGCAAAAGTGCAAGAGCACATCTGGTCTTTGCTAGTAGGTAGAAAGCAAGAGCAAAAGTGCAAGAGCACATCTGGTCTTTCAGGTTCGGTTCTCAACCAGTGGGGTGCGGAGACGAAGGCCAGGTGGAGATCAATCTCTGCAAAGCGGTTTTTTGGCCAAGCAATGTTCTTTTAAAGGCCCGCTCCCCCTCCCCTCCCTACTAATCAAGTAAGGGAGAGGTAGCTACTACCTTACTTAAGCTGCTAACTAGAACGCAGGATAGTTCACGCTTCTTCAAGGAAACTCACCGCTTGAAGAAGCGCTCCCACTCATCATTTGGCTCCTAGAATTAAGGGAAACGTGTACAATCCTTCAATAAGTTGCAACTTCACCATAGCGACAAGGCTCTCCAAGCTTCTGCGTTTCGTGGGTAATTAAGCGCGAAAGAACCAGCCAACACGTTGTGCTTCAAGAGAAACGGCAATGCCATGCACAACTCTACCACAAAGGCGAAATTATTGCATTTTCCGAAAGGCACATGTCTGCTCACACAGATCTGCCACTGCGGCCAAAGTTAGTAAGATGGTCTAAGAAAAAAGTTGAAACGAAAAGGTGTTCGAAGCTCCTTTGCAAGGCAACCTTGTCATCTGGATGATCATCAAAGTACGCCTTCAACTTGTCTGAGTGAAGAGCCTCGGCGTCTCAGGAGCCAAACCTCGACTTTTTGGAAAACGCAATAAACCCTTTGGTCAAAGGAAGTTTAGAGGAACTTCCGTGTTACGAACATTTACATCATTCATCATACACCACTCATCATACACAACTCACCATACACCACTCATCATACACCACTCATCATACACCACTCATCATACACAACTTATCATACACCACTCAATATACACCAGTCATCATACACCACTCATCATACACCACTCATCAACCACCACTCATCATACCACTCATCATACACCACTCATCATACACCACTCATCATACACCACTTATAATTACACCACTCATCATACACCACTCATCATACACCACTCATCATGCACCACTCATCATACACCACTCAATATACACCAGTCATCATTTACCACTCATCATACGCCACTCATCAATCACCACTCATCATACACCACTCATCATACACCACTCATCATACACCACTCATCATACACCACTTTTCATTACACCACTCATCATACACCACTCATCATACACCACTCATCAGACACCACTCATCATACACCACTCATCATCCAGTTAGCTCTAGCTTCAAGAGCTCTAGCTCCAGTTAGCTCTAGTTTCAAGAGCTCTAGCTCCAGTTAGCTCTAGTTTCAAGAGCTCTGGCTCCAGGTAGCTCTAGTTTCAATAGCTCTAGCTCCAGTTAGCTCTAGTTTCAATAGCTCTGGCTCCAGTTAGCTCTAGTTTCAATAGCTCTAGCTCTAGACCTCCATGTGCAGATTTCGTGGCAGGCCTTTGTGAACCTCCATGCGCAGATTTCGTGGCAGGTGCAGCACTTTGTGAACCTCCACGCGCAGATTTCGTGGCAGGTGCAGCACGTTGTGAACCTCCATGTGCAGATTTCGTGGCAGGCACAGCACTGTGTGAACCTCCATGCGCAGATTTCGTGGCAGGTGCAGCACTTTGTGAACCTCCATGCGCAAGATTGCGTGGCAGGCACAGCACTTTGTGAACCTCCACGCTTCTCCGAACCTCGACGGGGAAGCTCCGCGGAACGACAGTTGCGAGACGGTCTCGGATCATGGGCGGAATCGTCCCTCCATTGTGATTGGAGTTTTCACTTGTTTCTTGAAGCGCAGATTTCGTGGCAGGCGCAGCACTGTGTGAACCTCCATGCGCAGATTTCGTGGCAGGCGCAGCACTTTGTGA